TAAGTTCTGGTTCTGTCGTGGTCCAAACTAAAGGGCGACAGTCGTCGTGTCGCGTCCTGTTCGATATGGGACTCATAGCGACGTATACAACGCGTGTAAAATACATTGTTTATTTACATGAAATTCGAACACGCGCTGCGCGACGACCACCGCGCTTAAATATCCACGAGTTATTTATTCGGACAATGACTCAAATTAGACGTCTGATTATTTTATTTTCACACGTACAGCGACACGCGTTCTACACTGACAAGCGTTGCTAGGTCGCAGCACTGTCTTGGAGCATATTAATGGGCAATTGGGTTCCCCGATCTAAATTTCTATCCCGGTTTGTTGCACGTTCTTTTTTTAATATTAAATAATCATATATGGGACCTATGTATAATAACAGAACCCCACACCCTCCCCGTGGCTTCGCTCGTGAAAGTACGGCAGCAGGATACACCGCATCACTCGTGAAAATAACTTCCATACGCAATGAAAGCCACGGGGAGGGTATCTGTCATAATACTTCATTATCACTGAAAACATTTTTCCCCTGAAATAAATTCCAGTGAAAATGCCATTTCCCCCTCATACTCTATTGAGACACATCGCAGTGAAAATTGGATTCACATGTAATGCTTGAAAACATGTCAGCAAAAATAAATTAAGTGAAATTATACGCGTCTTCATAATAGTTGGAAATGAACAAATTACACCCGACCCTACCACTCCATATACAATGTAAACTACACCCCAAAACATCCTTTCACCCACAGTTACTACCGTGTTTCACCAGTGTATTCTATTTGACGTCAGGAGAAATTGAAATAAACAAATTAATTATAATTTCAGCCTCTAGTTGAGCACTGATTAAATAAACTACCTCGTCTTTATGTCAACTTGCAGTTATTCGTTGCCTACATCAGTGATTTCAATCCCAGGAATTAACCTCGCTGTTAATTGCATGGGAGTGCCAGTCTTTAATGAATTTCTATTGTCATGTCAATTTCTTGCGATTACTCGAACATTAAGCTGTAACCACATACCGCCTAGGTGCTGTAACTAAATCCTGGTTAGGCAGGCTTGAACTATGCATGTGAAGCCAGCTGTGGGGTATATTCAATCCTATAGATTTCCCATTGTTTGGTAACTATTTGCTGCAATTGCAACAAAAATCAATATAAAAAAATATTACCCACACAGCATTCTACAGGTTACTTGTTTTAATAGACTTTCATTCCTTTTTCCGTTTTCACGTTTGTCGCCATCTTGACTACACGTCCAGTCTTTC